TTCATGCTGCAGCCGGACAACACGCACGTGTACGTAGCTGCTCCCGCGGAGCGATCTACAGCGTTCTCATCTGCGATGGTCGCCTGGATCCGCGAGCATGGCGACGGCGCCACCGAGCTCGCCAACGGCATCAACAAGGCCACTCTCGCCCTCTTTGTCGTCCTCCGCGCCTCACCGACCGTCCCGTTCTCCATCCCTGTCTTTGCCTTCCTCATTCACTCCGGCGCCGACATCAATGCCCTCGAGCCCATCGCTGGTCTCCGCCCGCTCCACATCGCTGTGCTCTTGTCCAACGTCTTGGCCACCATGGCACTGCTTGCAGCCGGCGCCGATGTGTGGGCACCGAATCACATCGGTGTTCCCCCGCTCTCCACCGCAGCGATCGAACTCGCCGAGCCGAAGAGTCGGGAGGTCTACAACCTTGTCACAGGAACCATCCCTGTCCCCGCAGCCGTCGACGATTTTGTCCAAGAGGCCATCGCCGCGGGTGGTGTCGTTGATCGGCCCGCCGCATCTGGCAACCGGCCTCGATCACGCGTTGACGAGCTGGAAGCTGAGCTGTCTGCGACCAGAGACGAGCTGGCTCTGATGCAGGACAAGCTGACCGTCGCCGAGGGTGATATCCGGGCTCTCCGCGACGACCGCGTCAAGCTCATCCAGCACTTTGACGAGGCCGTCGCCAACTTCCAAGCACGCCGCTAGTCCTACGGCATGAGTGGCGATGCGCCGCGAGGCTTGTCGAGACGTCTCCCGGCGGCGGCGACAGCGAGAACACGACGTTGAATTGCTAGCTCGACATGAAGCTCCAGCCCATGTCACCGCTCTCTCTCACTCTCTCGGTGGTCGCTCCTGCCAAACGATAACAATCGCTTTTTCCCTCACTCCCGCATGTGCGGCCCACCGCCACCGGCAAGCCCCTGACGACATCCGGCCGACTGGCAGCGATAGCTGCTACCACACCTCCCACAGGACTCTCTCCGGGACAAACAAGACCACCATGACCGGGTCAAAGGGAAAGGAGGGCATGCTGCCACGGGCAAGCAGCGTACGTATCCCCTCTCTCCCCTCCTCTCCCCGCACAGATTACACTCGCTAGAGCACCAGTATGATGTGACCCATGTCTATGGCGGTGGTAGCGCAAGTCGCCGCAGGAAACCGTCGTCCACTTTTTTTCGGCCTCTGCAAACAGCCAACATAGCCATTCCCCCACAGCCCTCCTCCCCTCCTCCCCCCTCATCACCTAGTTGCTGCCATACCATGTACTATGTCGCCATGCACTGTTGCTGTTCTGCTGTTTTGCGCCACCCACAGGTGGATGCTGCCTCCTCCTCCCCCCCCCCCGCTCACTGTCGCGACGCGCCAGTACAACG